CACACACACACATCGACACATATGCAAATATGAATATAAATGAACAGCGGCTGAGCGCGGCTAAATCAAGTGTGTGTGGGTATGTATGTGTAGGTGTGTGTGTGGGTGTGTGTGAGTGGATACCAAAAGTTAAAAGTTAAACTTATGGGCGCAAAAGCAGATCGACAAGGGTATTACAACTAAAACAAAAGTGTGAACAAGCGCAGCTGCTGCTGCTGCTGCTGCCGCTGCTGTTGCTGCTACTGCTGCTGCTGTGGCAATAACGAGGCCACGACAATGTGTGTGTGGCATTTGAAGGCAAGGCTTGGCGACAGCTAAAAGGGATTGCCGGGGCGGCGAACAGTTGGGGAATGCGTGTTAAATTTACAATTATGCGACCCACGCAGAAAGAGAGAGAGAGAGAGAGAGAGAGAGAGAGAGAGAGAGAGAGAGAGAGAGAGAGACACAGAGAGAGTAAGATGGGAGATACATTTGCTAAGCTGCCGTGACATAGTGGTAAATGGGCCTTTCGCATCGCCACCAGCTCAACGACCGCGCTGGCAATTCAATAAAGTGCCAGAGCAGCCCGCCTGTAATGTGTCAATACAATCAGTCAGTCTTAAAAGCGCAATTAAAGACACAAACTGAGCGAAAGTGCGAACACAAGGCACACAAGTCACTCGCCCACAGAAAAGGTCGAGCTGACAGCGCCAAATAGCAGCCATACCGTCCACTCCCCAATGCCCCTCCTTAATCGATGGCCCACTCTCAGCTCTCGCCTCAATGCAAACATTGAGCCTGCCAATGAGCAGGCGAAACTTGCGCCGACTTCTCGCTTAACGAAAGTTGTCAGCTCCAATAAATGCGAGGCGAATGCGGGCGGCCGGCCGGCTGGGGTCGGGCCTGATACAAGTAATTAAAAGTTATGTACATAAATAAGTTGTATACAAATTGAGCGAGTTTCTTAAGATTCTGCTAAAGACTTGAGCAATTGGCAGTCGTGCCGTGCCGACTTAGTGCTGCCTCCAGATTAGCTTCACGTAGCGTCGTTTGACTTGTTCAATTTGACGAAGTTTTACTTATGGTCCGTGTGGGGTCAACTGTAAGTAAGTTATGAGTAAGCAAAAATTTGTGCAGAGGGTAGATATAAATGCGGCCATCTATGTGATTCTCAATCATCGCTTGTTAGAAGGAACAGAATCGATATATGTGCTCTTCTCTGCGATTCTCAATCAACCGAATCAGTTTATTTTTTATGTGAGCAGTTTAGAATAATATAGATGAATGCAATCGATGCAGCCTTCTATGCGATTCTCAAAAGTTTAATAATTTCAAGGAGCTCAATCTATTTTATAAGCATAGTATCTGAGGTCAACTATAGGTTCTAAAAAATTACATTAAACAAAAATGGTATATGCGCTTTCAAGAGAGAGGAAATGAGACAGAGAGAGAGAGAGAGAGAGAGAGAGAGAGAGAGAGAGAGAGAGAGAGAGCGAGCTCAATCTATTATGTGTAAGCCCAACTATAAGTTAAATATTAGTGAGTGAGTCTAAGGATTTTATAAATTGCATGCAACGACGCTTAAAATGTGCCCTTCTATGCACTTCTCAGAAGCCTAAGTACAAGACTTCAATTCATTTTTGTAATGAGCTTAAAATTGCAATCGCATGAGTAAGTGATTTAAAAGAAGAAGAAGAGGGCTGATCCTATAACCCTTTGATGCATATTCATTGAAAACATTAAAGGTTCAAGCAAGTGATATATTTTATAGCAACATGTGTAGCATGTTGTCAATGCATCCTATATTTATTTATTTAATCGGATGCCAATATAAGGGACTTGGCCTGTGACTATGAAGCGATGAATATCAGCTCAACGTCATATTAAAATAAGATGAATCAAAGCTTCAGCTATAAGCAATGATGTGCTGTATGTCATTGGGTGCTCGGTCAAAGTCTCTTAGGCAGAGTGAAGTTCTATTACTCAACACCTTTTGACAGGCACTGAATGCTTTGCCACACCTCCTGCCATGCATGTTGCATCAATGGGAGTCCATGAACTATGCAATGGCTGTAAGCATCTTTAAATGCCATGAAATTGTAAGTTTATTGTTATCCATTGCATAGTTGGGCCTTTGACTGCACTGAAGCCTATCAACTATACAAAGCACAACTTGGCAGGACATTAGTCGCATCAAAGGCTAAGGCTAAGCCTACATTGTTGGTTATATCCATTACAACACACACACAAACACATAGCTTGACAGACACGGTATTAATAGAAATAATATTAAATTAAAACAGACTCAAGCATATAATCTACCAAAGGCATGTGTTTAATTGGAAAGTTTTAGAGGAGCTCATTAAATTGAATTTGTATTTGTTTTGGCTGATTTATGCACTCTCTATCCCCATATACATACATACATAAATACATACATATATACACATATACTATACGTGTACATAATGACAATATGAAACTGTAGAAAATAATGTTGTTAAAATTAATTTGCATTTAATTAAATTTATGTTGCAAATTGTCGCACGATGGCAACGACACGACGACACGACACGGCAGTGGCCGTAGCAGGAAATAAGCAGCTTTGACATACGGCAAATGGATGCCAGCACACATAGAAGCGCACACACAGACACAGAGACACACATAGACTATCCCAGGCACATGTGGCGCTGCGAGCAGAGGCACATGTGAAGCTAGAGCAAAAACTAGGTAACAGCAGTGGAGTGGAGAAGCCAGTGCGATTACAAAAACATCAACACTTAATATGTTTATTAAATTTGTTGCTACATCATTAGGCACTAGCAGCCATATAATGCGGCGCAAACACTTTGGCAATCGCAAACACACACACACACAAACTTCCACACGTACACACACACACACGCGCGCGCACACATGGCTGTGAGCTTGCTTGCCGTTGAGCGTTAATACCCTACGCCTCATAAAACGTATATGCCGAGGTAATTCAAACTTGGCGCAAATACATGTAACACTTGCTAAAAGCAAAAGAAGCKATAAACGCTTGCAAACACACAGACACACTCACACACACAACAGAAACAAGCGGAACTGTGCATATAATATTAGATGAAAATATAAA